ATGTCGACACTGATGACTTCCCGATTAAGATAGGACTGCATCAGGGGTCAGCTTTGAGCCCTTATCTTTTTGCATTGGTGATGGATGCATATGGTGTTCATTGACTTGGAGAAGGCCTATGATAAGATACCGCGGAATGTCATGTGGTGGGCCTTGGAGAAACACAAAGTCCCAGCAAAGTACATTACCCTCATCAAGGACATGTACGATAATATTGTGACAAGTGTTCGAACAAGTGATGTCGACACTGATGACTTCCCGATTAAGATAGGACTGCATCAGGGGTCAGCTTTGAGCCCTTATCTTTTTGCATTGGTGATGGATGAGGTCACAAGGGATATACAAGGAGATATCCCATGGTGTATGCTCTTTGCGGATGATGTGGTGCTAGTTGACGATAGTCGGATGGGGGTAAATAGGAAGTTAGAGTTATGGAGTCAAACCTTGGAATCGAAAGGGTTTAGGCTTAGTAGAACTAAAACCGAGTACATGATGTGCGGTTTCAGTACTACTAGGTGTGAGGAGGAGGTTAGCCTTGATGGCCAGGTGGTACCTCAGAAGGACACCTTTCGGTATTTGGGGTCAATGTTGCAGGAGGATGGGGGTATTGATGAAGATGTGAACCATCGAATCAAACCCGGATGGATGAAGTGGCGCCAAGCTTCTGGCATTCTCTGTGACAAGAGAGTGCCACAAAAGCTAAAAGGCAAGTTTTACAGGACGGCGGTTCGACCCGCAATGTTGTATGGCGCTGAGTGTTGGCCGACTAAAAGGCGACATGTTCAACAGTTAGGTGTGGCGGAGATGCGTATGTTGAGATGGATGTGTGGCCACACGAGGAAGGATCGAGTCCGGAATGATGATATACGAGATAGAGTTGGGGTAGCACCAATTGAAGAGAAGCTTGTCCAACATTGTCTGAGATGGTTTGGGCATATTCAGCGCAGGCCTCCAGAAGCTTCGGTGCATAGTAGACGGCTAAAGCGTGCGGAGAATGTCAAAAGAGGGCGGGGTAGACCGAATTTGACATGGGAGGAGTCCGTTAAGAGAGACCTGAAGGATTGGAGTATCACCAAAGAGCTAGCTATGGACAGGGGTGCGTGAAAGCTTGCTATTCATGTGCCAGAGCCATAAGTTGGTTGCGAGATCTTATGGGTTTCACCTCTAGCCTATCCCAACTTGTTTGGGACCAAAGGCTTTGTTGTTGTTGTTGTTGTTATACTCATTCTTTTAACATGGTCACAATACTCGTCAACTCCCATCGAAATTTACCCGAAAGACATGTCATCTAGAAATCTCACAAGGATTTTGCATACGTGTAATTTTTGCAAGGAGGCAAGGTTGCTCCTGATTAAAATTTGAAGAACACTTGATCCATCTAAAAATATAACAAGGTTGCTCACAACTTTGAACTTTCTAGTTCAGCGTTCATGTGGGTTTCTATCATTTGTTTCTCCCGTCTCTACAGTTCGCATTAGTTTGTCTGTGAGACAACAAATATTTTGCTAACAAAATGTAAAAGATATTTACCTGATCTTTTACAAAATTTGTACATTTTTGCCTAAAAGATGGACGGCGATTTTTAGACAAGTGATTTTTTTAAATGATAATCATGTGTTTATAAAATGCTCACTGTGAAATAAACAAATGATCATCATGGATACTGTTCATTGTATACTTAAAAATGTACACCATGAATTTTAGAAAGCCCGTCGCCTGATAAAAGATCATCGTGGATATGTTTGATACATTGTCGTTGCCTTTATCTGGTTGATTACCGTTTATATGGACGAGGGGGTCATGGTTCGACTACCTGTTATCTGTGAATTGTCCTGGGAGTCTGGTTATCTTGTTTTGAGTCGGTGAGTGTCGTGCTGTGTGACCTATTTCTTTGTTGTTCTGGATTGGTGCATGCATTCTTGTGGGCTGACGGTTGCTTTATCGGTTTCGTTTTTGTGGGCTGACCTAGCACTGAAAATGACTATCCTATAGGCGAACTGCTACAGAGAATCACAGGTCAAGCAAGCTGCTTTAGCTTCCACTGTGTTGGCTGGTTATGTACAATTGCCAAGTGTTCACCAGGATTTACAAAGAATCAATCAGCCCAACACAAAAGTGAAGAATGGATCCCCCTTTGCAACTCAGATACTATCAACACAATCTTGTTAGCACTTAAGCGGTAACAGGACAGCTTCAGTTCGTCTTGTAGGCCCAGCTGTGCTCCTTGAGGTAGGCTTGCACTGCTTCCTTGATGGCGAGATTCGGAACCAACTGATGCTCCTTCAAGGGCTCCCGTGTCACCGGGTCAAAATTACCCACCTAAGGAAAGGTTATTGTGAGATTTACAACATCAAACCGTATGTACAACACATACTAAGTTATATGTAAAGCGAAGTTTAAATAATTTTGAACCTTAGCACATCGTCAAAACATACTTGGTGTCATACCTATGCCAATCAAATAATGTACCAGTTCAACTTAGCTACACCAGCTACTGTTCATTTGTTCAAGCTTCTGTGTTTTTTCCTTTAATTAATAACAGTTATTTCAACTAACCAGTACTCATACAAGAGTCGTCTAAATCTATGATTATTGTAGAATCAGGCAATATATATGTAAGTGGAATAGTCTGTATTAAGGAATTTCAGGGGATGATATTAGCAGACACCAGTAGAAAAAATAAATTAAATTAAATCAAGGGTTCTCTATAAACAGATGCCAGATTAGGAAGAATGCGCACCTTGTGGAGATGCTCAAGCAGTATGGCCCTCTCATATGTTACACCACTGGGTGTGATAACTGGATCTCTAAAAATCTCAAAAGTTATTTGACAGCAAAGGTAGTCGGGCACCTAGGTATTCAGAGTGGGAACAACTTAAGAACACAGAGGAGAAAAAAATAACACTGAACAGAAGAAATTTGGTTACAATACAAGATATCATAAAAATAATCAGTGCTTTTACATCTCCTGGCGTATCAGCAAGTATAGCGTTTGTGAAGACTTCGGATAACAATTTGCATTGCTCTGGATACTCATTGGTTGTCCCCTCAGAGTCTTCTGAAAGAGTACCGCTAAGAAAGTGATGCTCCTGCAGAGCATTTTCACAAGCTTCCCTACAATGTTCATGTTACAGCAGAGTTTAAAAAAAAATCAGTATCTTTCTTGAATGTAAGGCATCAGGGGAAATGCTAAAGTTTTGCTGAATTGACCCTCAACATTAAATATACAGACTTGGCTTTGATCTGCAGCAGAATGATCCCAATTATCTCAAGGTAATTTCAATGTACATTGTACCTTAAACTTTGCATCTTCCAAACTCGCTGAGTGGAGTGCTTTTCCCAGTGTTGGTACTTGGCCTTGGCAAGAACCTGCCAAATGTCCTCCGCCATTTTGTCCCTTGAATTTGAAGACTTCAAGAGATCCAAAGCCTGTTCCCCATCAGTATGTCAAGTCAAAATAACCATCAAAAGTCAGGCAATCAGCTGAGTTCGCTAATTAACTTTAGCTAGAATTGTCATCTCCACAAGAAAATCAGTACTAGTCGTTACACATTGATTTTTCCATCTTTCTCAAGAAGACAACAAGCTGATGACAAGCTATGTAGAGCCACCAAGCGGTAAGAGTGAAACCATTTCATCTGATGATATTTACAAATGTGGAAGAGGGCAAGGGGTTCAGTTAAAATTCCGCAATGCTCAGGAACACGCAGACAATAAAATCCAATAAATGTGTTAGACTACAACTCACGCCAACTCCTGACAGATATTCTAGACCATCTTCAAGTTAATCGTCAGTCAGACTGGTGCCTACAATCTACCCAAGTCTTACTATACTGTAATAATGGCACAAACGTGATGATCTTAGCATAATACAGAGCCTGGTTCAGAATGTACAGAGAGGCTTCAGAAACCGTGGACCTTCTCGAACTCCTTGACGGCGAGAGCGCAGTCCTCCTTCTCGAGCAGAGCGCACCCTAGCAGATAGTGTCCCTGCATCATCAATCACAGAAGCAAGAAGAGATGAAGCTCTGAAACCTGCACATTGTACAAATCGATACGCCCTTCTTCCTCGGGCATGAACTGAAGAAAGGGGGATAATAATCTATCTGTGTGAGTCACCTTGACGGAGGCGTCGTCGAGCGCGAGCGCCATCCGGCTGTCCTCCTCGACCCTGGCCCAGTCCTTGCGGCGGAAGTGGCAGAGGCCCCGGTTCACCCAGTAGACCGCGACGCCGGGGCACAGCGCAATCGCCTGGAAACCAACCAATCAATCAATCCGTCCTTGCATTCGATAATCGCTCGACCGGGAGGGGATTCCACGGATCGAATCGTCGGCCGGGAAGAAGGGGATTGCCGGATTGGGGGAGGAAGGAGGAGGTTTTGGGGGGTGCGCGCTCGCCTCGGTGTAGCAGTCGATGGCGGCGCCGAGGCGGGCCTTGCGGAAGCACGCGTTGCCCTCGGCGCGCCGGAGCTCCGCCTGCCGGGCCACGCCGCCGTCCGCCGCCGCCGCCATGGAAAACCTCCCTCTCTCTCTCTGAAGTTGGTTGGGATTGCGCCGCGCAAGAATATCGAAGGCCCCACGAGAAGAGAAGACAAGAGGAGGGATTTCTTTTCTTTCTTTTTCTTAAAGAAAAAGGACTCGAATATATTGTTTATTTTTCCTGGTCCAAAAGGTCAAACAAGTCAACGGGGCCGAATTGATGTAAAAAAATGAACTAGACCTGATCATACACCGAATCGGGCCGGCCTTTTTGGGCCTCGGCGAAGCACGAAGTTGAAATCCCAAGCCCGGCCCAGCTGGCCCAAAACACATGAGCAAGTTCACGAGTTTAGGAGCTCCAATTTCATTCTACTCAAAAAAAAGGAGCTCCAATTTCGTCTTCTCGAAAAAAAAGAGCTCGAATTTCGAGGCTCACGGTCTTGCTAAGCATGCATGCTTCAACCCTGAAGTTTGGCCGTCATGTCTGGTTAGGCCAACAGGTGGAACTCCATTTCATACATGTAAACGTTCTGCAAGTATAAATAAAGCTTAGCGAGAGTGTCTACATTTTTTATCAATTAAAATAATTATTTTAGGGCTACAAAAATAACACATTCTACATATTTGCTAGTTAAAATATTTTTTAGTCATTTTGAGCTTTTGGGCGGTTTGGGGCCGGGCTTCTAGGTGGAAATGTTAAGCCCGAGCCTAGTTGTCACGCTTTTGACAACTAACGTAAGAACTTCAATCAAAATAAAGAGAGTGAAGTTCCCTTTTTTTTGGGAGGGGGGAGGGGGGGGGGTCTAAAATTGGAGTGAAACCGTGTGTTGTGGAAAATGTTCTTTAGATTGATATATAATTACATACAATACGCTGAGAGGTAATATGCATATTCTGGCCCTCAGATTTTCCTATGGATATCCTAAGTCGAGATAACTAGCTAGTCATTTATGACTTAATTGTAGATACTCCCTCCGGTTTTAAATATAATACTTTTTAAAGATTTTAGATACTCCCTCTGTATATAGTCCATATTAAAACCTCTAAAAGGTCTTATATTCAGAAACGGAGGAAGTATTTTAGGTTTGCTAAGCATGGCTTCTTATTTATTTTTTGTATCACATTCTATTGAGAAAATAAATAAATAAAATAGTTACACGCATAAAGTAGGGATGGGGCGGAGCCAACTTTATCTGAATATAACTATACAAAGTCCAAAGTAGTATGAATTTTTGCTTGTTGGGCCACGTAACATTGAGCGGACTGGCGTGCTTAGGACTCAAATACGGTAGGAACTTGATGTACATAGAAAATGTCGCGTTGCGGCTCTACCCGTTCCTAACACTTTTAGCGAATAGCAATGAAGACAGTTGTTGACTTAACTAAGCATTACAAAATAATGCACTAAAACTTCCTTCGGTATGTGATAAAAGAGTACCAATTGCATGAGCATTATTGTTTGACATGTGGTACGACGTGAAGCCCTATGGACAAGACACAGGTCGAAATTGCAAATGCTTCTGTAGGAGTCCACAAACATCAAGTTCAATGAAAGCGAGACCGCTTACGATTTTGGCTTGCGAATGACGGGTTTCGCCAGTGACCTTCAAGTTGATTGGCAACCGTTGAAGAAAACAAAGCCATACTCAAATTCATGTGATCGGTAGTCGGCTTCGTACTCGTATCTCACCTTGTTGATCAAGATTCTTACCAACTCTGAAGATGCTCGCCATGGGGGAGACTTGTATAGGATCTGACCTTTAGGTGAGATCGTAGAATCAACACCAGAAATTTATATTCACACAATTCAAAAAATTCTGATTTTTTTACAACATACCTCCAAGGTATGTTTACAACTCTGAAAAAATCAGCTTCAAACTCGGTCTATAATAAGAGATTCAAAAAAGACAAATTTGACTATGAATAGTGCCATCTTGGGGTGAATAGTATTTGGCACTATTCATACCCGATTTTGTCTTTTTTGATTCTCTAAGTGTACTTCAAATTAGGAGCTGAAAATTCTTGAGGTTGTACATCAAATATGGATGTCTGTCTACATTCAGAATTTTTGAGCATGTTTTGAGTCTTCAAGTAATAAATTGATCTCATTGATCTCACCTAAAGCTAGATCTCATACAAGTCTTCCCCTGCTCGCCATTGGGGTCCTGAAGAGACAACTAGTTTCCATCAAGGCGCTCTTTGCAATCAACCACAACATTGGAGAAGGGTGGGTGCAGTGGCGTACCCAGGAAAAAAATGAAGGGTGTGCACACTCTAAAAAAAATCCCCACCTAATCCATGTGTCAAACAAAATATGTCAAAATAATAACATGAGTAGCTTAATGCAAATCTCACAACAATTTAGTTCACAAAATATATCTCAAATGTGCTCAATTACAATACGAGTAGTCTTACATGAAAGAAGAACAAGTAGAAAATTACATCACTAGGTAACTCTACGTTTTTGCATTGCCATGAAAGCATCAACTATGTCATCTTCGCTTACTTCCATGAACACATCACGTTCAATAAATGTCACCAAGCAATCATTCAAGCGATCATCACTCATAGTAGTCCTCAACTTATTTTTCACTAGATTCATTGCTGAAAACACTCTTTCAACACTTACCGTTGCCACCGGTAAAATCAATATCAATTTGATGAGTAAGTAGACCAAATCATAAAGAACATGCTTCTTTGTTGCAACAAGCATAATAGAGAGCTCACCAATATTACTTGCATTTCTAAACCTATCATCTTGTCTCATATCATCAATAAAATTAGTAAGTTGAAATTCTAGCCTTATCAAATCTGTGCTTGAAATGTCCATGGGATAGAATTCAGCAAGTCTCATTACCTTGAGTGCATCATAAGAAGCAAATGAATTGAGGGGATTCAGGCCCTGTTTGGTTCATAAGTCTTAGGACTTTTTCTAGTCCCAACTAAAAAGTCTCTAGTCCCTAAAAAGTCCCTCCCTGTTTGTTTCTAGAGACTAAAAAGTCCCTAGTCCCTTCCTAGAGGTTATTAAATGACCATGTTGCCCCTATATACTCCCTCCGGTCCTTTTTACTCTGCATATTATAATTCTCTGAAGTCAAACTTCACAAAGTTTGACCGTATTTATATAAAAAAAATATCAACATCTGCCATGTTAAAGTTATACAATATGAAACTTTAAGTCATGACACATCTATTGGTATTGATTTCAGATTATGAATGTTGGTACTTTTTTCTATAAAGTTGGTCAAATTTTACGAGGCTTGACTTCAGTCAAATCTTATATGCAAACTAAAAAGGACCGGGGGGAGTAGAAAAATAACAATCAAACAACACCATGGGGTGGCGGGCCATTGAATGCATGGAGGGGCATTGTTGGAAAAGTTCCAAAAAGTCCCAAAAAAGACTCTCCTTGAGAGTCTTCTTCATTTAGTCCCAAATGCCTAGTTTAGTCCCTAAAAAGTCTCTCCCGTTTGGTAAAAAAGTCTCTAAGAGGGACTTTTTCTAGTCCCTACACAAAAAAGTCCCTGGAAACAAACACCCCCTCAAAGCCGACATGCAAATAAGCAACTCGGTATTAACCTCATCAAACCGATTGTCAAGCTCTTGAATGATTTGATCTATGACACCAAGATATACTTCTCTTCTATAACGATCATCATTTGTTTGTACTTCATAATACCGACGTGATCTTCGATTTGGCTCATAAATATCCTCCCACAAAGGAACTTGAATGTCATGTTTGTTGCAAAATAAGGTTAGCTTTGCAAGAAAATCTTCCCAACCATGAGACCTCATGTGTTGCATTCTACTCTTTGCCAAACTAACAAGTGTCATTGCATTGACAATATCTTAATCTCTCTTTTGCAAAGATTTGGACAACTCATTTGTGTAGCCAAGAATAACAAGCATCAAGTGAAGATTGAAAACAAAGTCAAATGATTCAAAGGCTTGAGCAACTCCACGTATTCTTGTCCACTCACTTTTTTTGTGAAGGATCTTTTCCAATAGCATCAAGTACTTCAAGGATTGTGAAATACATGCTAACAATGTGCATAATGGTTTTTAAATGAGAACCCCAACGAGTGGCGCCGGGTCTAGCTAGTCACATCTCTTGATTTAGCCCACTTCCACTTTCAGTCTCACCCATTTCAAGTGCTTCCAACACCTTTTGAGCTCTAACATCTCGAAGCATGTCATGGCGCTTACAACAAACTCCAACAATATTGAGCAAATAAGAAACATGATCAAAGAACCACAAACATGGTTCATTGTCCTTTTCCACAGCTATAAGAACCAACTGAAGTTGATGTGCAAAACAATGGATGTAATAGGCAGAGGGTGACTCTTTCATGATCAATGTTTTCAACCCTTTAATCTCCCCTTTCATGTTGCTAGCCCCATCATATCCTTGCCCATGTATTTGACTAGGAGTCAAATGATAATCTTTAAGCAAAGTTTGAATTGCATCCTTAAGTGATAATGAAGTTGTATTGGCAACATGAACAACTCCAAGGAACCTCTCACATCCTCTTCCCGATTTGTCAACAAATCGTATGAAGAGAGCAAGTTGTTCTTTATGAGATGCATCACTAGACTTCGGCCGTCGGGACGGGAGGCGCGGGCGGGAAGAGCTCCTCCGGGGCGGCGGCGGCCCTCTGGTCCAGGTCGGCGGCTCGCGGGTCGCGGCGCTTGCTGCTTGCTAGCTGTTCTCACCAAAGGGAAGGAGCTCCGGTGGCCGGCGCTGCTTCGACTTCGAAGGGGAGCAGCAGCTGCCGAGTGGGTGAGGCGGTGAGCGCCGAGCGGCGGCGCGTCCTGGTTGGGCAGCGGCCGAGCGAGAAGGGATTAGGCCATTAGGTCGCGCCGCTCTGCCTATCTCTCTCTCTCACTCGCTCTGTCCGGGTCTCTCACGTGATGGCAGTTAGGCCTGGCTGGCTGGCTTAGTTAAATTGGGCTAAAATATTATATGGTATAAAAAAATTCTCACAAACTCTGGGTGTGCCACGGCACACCATGCACACACGCTAGGTCCGCCA